TCGTTGGTAAAAAAAAATTAGCCAATCAGCATCGAGTGTTCACTTTCAGCGCTGAGGAGTGTTGAGAAGAGAAACCTCGCCGAGGAGGCTAGCCTCCCTTCTGGTATATCAACCAATGATCACAGAGACGTAAATTACGTGATATTAGTTTGCCGCTGCGCTGATAATGTACCAAGTACTTATGATGAGTAGCGATATTGAATATTTGATCGCCAACAGATTTACCAAGCTGTCATTCAAACAGTATATATTTGTATATATACTGTTTGAATGACAGCTTGGTAAATCTGTTGGCGATCAAATATTCAATACAAATTTAGGGAAAACAGCCTAAGCTGGATATAGGCTACAGCAGTCGGCTTAATTAAATGGCGCAACAGGCAGCTCTCTTTTAACACAGACTTTTAAGAAGGGATGGATGTTTGCTTCAAGTGATAGGCCAGGTAAGTGAAATTATATTATCTTGCTGTATGTGTGTTGTTTTCTTTATGTTTTCTGACTAAAAGCAACCAAAAAGCCATTTTAAAGTGGTTAAGCAAATAATAATAATAATAATCAGCAGGGATCCCAGACCAATACAATTACAGTGCCTCCTCTATTTTAAAACCCACGAGCCGCCACTGCAAGAATGCATTTTGACAATTGGTTTCACTGTTCATGTCTTTAGTAACATATTCTGTGAAGGCATGCACTTCTGTTTTACTTGTTCAAGTGTGAATTGCTCCTAATTCAAAATAATTCAGTCAGTAAGGTTTAATAAATGTGTGCACCTGAGTGATTAAATATTTGTGCAGAAATGTGGTTGAACACCCAATGTAACCTGTCCCCACCCTTTTTGTCTTATGGTATGCCAGAGCTCCATCACAACCAGTTTCAGGAGAGAACAACTAACAGTGAAAACAAACGAGAAACAGGAAAGTCCAGCTACCGTAACTTTTGACCTCTGAGTGTGAGTCAAGTGTTAATCCTCTGACACACGTGAAGCACATTCACTTATTGATTTATCAGAGCCTCATAAGAATGCAGTTCAACGTCAGCTCTGAAGAAACGTATGCTGTTAAGAGTGCTTGAGTTTGCTCGTTTTTTGCAGTTTTCCATCCTGATTTTTTTGTTCTGCTTTATGCAGAGAGAGAGAAATAATGTGAGAAGTTTCAGAAAAAAAACAGCAAAGACTTTACATTACATTGTCACAAAAAAATCAGTTTCAAACAAATGCTGTTCTTCTGAAATGTTCACCTTTTCCACTAAAAAAAATAAGCAGCACAACTGTTTTCAACTAATAATAACAAGAAATGTTTCTTGAGCAGCAAATCAGCATATTAGAATGATTTCTGAAGGATCATGTGACACTGAAGACTGGTTTAATGATGCTGAAAATTCAGCTTTGCATCACAGGAAAAAAATACATTTTAAAATATATTAATATAGAAAACAGTTATTTTAAATCATAATAACATTTCACAATATTCCTGTTTTTTATGTATTTTTGATCAAATAAATGCAGCCTTGGTGAGCAAAAGAGACTCCTTTCAAAAAATTGTACTGACTCCGAACTTTTGACAGGTAGTGTATGGCTTAATTAAATGGCGCAACAGGCAGCTCTCTTTTAACACAGACTTTTAAGAAGGGATGGATGTTTGCTTCAAGTGATAGGCCAGGTAAGTGAAATTATATTATCTTGCTGTATGTGTGTTGTTTTCTTTATGTTTTCTGACTAAAAGCAACCAAAAAGCCATTTTAAAGTGGTTAAGCAAATAATAATAATAATAATCAGCAGGGATCCCAGACCAATACAATTACAGTGCCTCCTCTATTTTAAAACCCACGAGCCGCCACTGCAAGAATGCATTTTGACAATTGGTTTCACTGTTCATGTCTTTAGTAACATATTCTGTGAAGGCATGCACTTCTGTTTTACTTGTTCAAGTGTGAATTGCTCCTAATTCAAAATAATTCAGTCAGTAAGGTTTAATAAATGTGTGCACCTGAGTGATTAAATATTTGTGCAGAAATGTGGTTGAACACCCAATGTAACCTGTCCCCACCCTTTTTGTCTTATGGTATGCCAGAGCTCCATCACAACCAGTTTCAGGAGAGAACAACTAACAGTGAAAACAAACGAGAAACAGGAAAGTCCAGCTACCGTAACTTTTGACCTCTGAGTGTGAGTCAAGTGTTAATCCTCTGACACACGTGAAGCACATTCACTTATTGATTTATCAGAGCCTCATAAGAATGCAGTTCAACGTCAGCTCTGAAGAAACGTATGCTGTTAAGAGTGCTTGAGTTTGCTCGTTTTTTGCAGTTTTCCATCCTGATTTTTTTGTTCTGCTTTATGCAGAGAGAGAGAAATAATGTGAGAAGTTTCAGAAAAAAAACAGCAAAGACTTTACATTACATTGTCACAAAAAAATCAGTTTCAAACAAATGCTGTTCTTCTGAAATGTTCACCTTTTCCACTAAAAAAAATAAGCAGCACAACTGTTTTCAACTAATAATAACAAGAAATGTTTCTTGAGCAGCAAATCAGCATATTAGAATGATTTCTGAAGGATCATGTGACACTGAAGACTGGTTTAATGATGCTGAAAATTCAGCTTTGCATCACAGGAAAAAAATACATTTTAAAATATATTAATATAGAAAACAGTTATTTTAAATCATAATAACATTTCACAATATTCCTGTTTTTTATGTATTTTTGATCAAATAAATGCAGCCTTGGTGAGCAAAAGAGACTCCTTTCAAAAAATTGTACTGACTCCGAACTTTTGACAGGTAGTGTATTTATTTAAAATAACTGTACTATTGTTTGTTCACAAATGACATTTATAAAAAATAATTTTCACTCGGTAACTGTATAAAACAAGGAAAAGGAAAAGCTTCAATTGTAAATTATACACATTGCTGAAGCATTCATTATGTAGCTGCAGTTTCCAAAACAAAAGTTTCTGAATCCTCACCATTCTGTTTCTCCCTTCCTGAAGGAAACTATGATCATAATGAGAGCTTGTGGACATGTTCCTTCCTTTTAATCTTCATTGTGAGTCCTGATCATTTCTGATTTCCTAGCTAGAGGTTACTGAGTGGCTGTGTTGTTGGTCATAGTGGGCGTTTCTACCACTGGATGCCCTAATCTGATTGGTGGGCTGATGCTGACAATCTCAAATATCGGTCAATTAATCAGCCTGGATCTGCCTACATCTGTAGTTTCTGAGCACCTTGTTCATCATTTAGTCATTCTTTCAACCTTAATTCCCCCCTACTATTCATCTGATTCAGGGGTTGCATGTTTTTTTAATTCAAATTATTAAAATAAAACGATAATGATACTTTCAGGTCTTGGTCTGTCATTTATGAGGAACAACTGAGATTGACACTTCCACGAAACTCTATTATGTCTGTGAAACCTCTGAGCAATAACATTTTCCTCTGGGTTTTTGTCACCCTCTCTTACACACACACACACACACAGTCTCTTTTTCATTCTGTGCTCATTTCATGCTCCCTCTGGTTTATAGTAAATGGAGTTATTGGCCAGACAGCAGGATAGTTAAACAGGTGTTTCCCAAATGGGCACTGAGCTGCATCGGTACAGGAATGGCCTCTGTTTTGCCCTTCGCCTCGGGTTGAACCATTTGTTTGAAGAAGTGTGAAAAACACCATTTCACCCATAGCCAGTCTAGAGGTCATGAATGCATGAACTAGCTTTTCTGCATCAGAAATAGGTATCATGTTTCGCTAAGTAATATTTTTTTTACTTCTTTATGACTTTGAACAAGAAACGTACACATCTCAATTAATGTATTTTATATCTTAAGGTTTAATTTTTTTAGTATTTTTTTATATTATATTTTCTATCTGTTGCAATGTCTCACACGTGTGGGCCTTTTTTGTGTAGGTGGCGCTCTTGCGTATGTCGTGGAGTGAGCTGTTCGTTTTAAATGCTGCTCAGTGCTCTATGCCACTGCATGTAGCGCCCCTGCTGGCCGCTGCCGGTCTACACGCTTCCCCCATGTCAGCCGAAAGAGTGGTGGCCTTCATGGACCACATACGTGTCTTCCAAGAGCAGGTGGAGAAACTGAAAGCTCTTCAGGTAGACACGGCTGAATACTCCTGTCTGAAGTCCATCGTACTCTTCACCTCTGGTAAGAACAACTAACCTTAAGGCTACTTGGTTTGATTAGTATTTACTGTATGAGTCCATTTTAGAAACACCTCAATAATACCATTTAGAAAACACCTGGACCTGTTTTGCTGATCTGTTTAGGTCTAGTTGTCAGTAGGGATGGGTACCGAAACCCGGTATTTAATCGGTCCCGGGGCTAAATTATGAAAGACCGGAGTATCGATAAGCTCTGACGTTAACGGTTCTGCTATCGGTACTGTAGAAATTAATAAAACACACATACATTTATTATTGCTATATATACATTATCTTGCAAATTCTATCTCACCAGACTCGCCAGCTGTTTTTCAAACATTTGTCTATGATGCATTTTTGCTATTCCCAATTCAGAAACGAGATCGCGTCCATGCGGAGGAGCTTCAGCACGCGCAACATGAAAGCCCTGTTTAATTATGATAGAAGAGAGAACTAAACATTCAAACATCTGCTTACACTTTAGGCCTGTGGCTATTTTATTAAGCTAATTATATATTTTTTTTATTTCGATTTTGGCTTCTAAGGATTATACAAAAGAAGACATGAGGTAAAGCTATTAAAAACTAGCTGCGTTTCGTATTGCGCAACTTCTTTCCCTTCACAGCGGTGCGCATTCGTTCCTCCCTAAAACCCAAGCTTAACGTCAGAATCAGCTCAATCGGTGATTGTTGTAAGATGCCATCTTTACTGTTGCTAAATTGCGGGACATGTTTGATAAAATGTTGAAAGCACAATCCGCACAAGAGACGCTGTTCCTCAGGCCGAAATGTGTGCGCGCGGCGCGCTACAAAACGGACAAACAAATTACACTTTGAGCTTCGGGCGCATGTCCAATCGATCAAATACACACAAAAATATGTCAAAATGGCCGGCTTGGAGAATATTTACTTAAACACAGTTTATGTCTTAAGTGG